GTGATGCCTGCTAATCATGTTTGCTGGTTCTGAGATGATTGAAATTAAAAGTGTACTAACCTATCATATTAAATAAAGCTGCCTCTGGAGGTCTGACTAGCATGTACTGACAAAAGTCCTAGGGTTTTTGCAGTGGAAATTCAGCAGTCTTCATGGCATCCTTGTGCATCATGTAACACAGTTTGCATTCTGCTTTGAATTGCGCTCTCATTTAGACTTCTAAACAGAGGGTATTGATAACACAACACACAGATTTTTCTGATGAGGTTAAGCATTTGCCTAAGCTTGAAATGTTGAACTGTGCATTTGGAAAAAGGTGGTTAGGATCTCTAGACTGCTGAATTAAAAAATTATTTAAGAAGATGCAGACTTTCAGATGGTACTTAATTCTACTTTTAAACCACAATTTTGGGCTAAAAGGTGACCCTTTATAGTCACCTAATGAGGTCAGTGGCCACAGAAATTTCATGATTTGTATTGTCTCCTCTGGTGGACAGTTTCTTGTTGCTGAGTGTTTCAGGATTTGCCAATTTAATGGACACTGTTGATTCACCATGTCTACTTCACTGCCTTTTCTCCTGGCTTGTTTCCTGTTCCACTAGTGCTGCTCAGCCTTTCTGGGGCACACAGCTGATGGGCTGATGATGTTTCTAGGGTACCTGAGGGTAAATGGAAACTGGCCAGAGGCAAGCAGCCAGGGGCTCTGAGGGATCAGGCTCTCCACCTCCTGTTTCCCAGACTCATGCAAGTTGGACTTGGTAGTTCTGTTTCACGACTACTGCTTAGGCCTCCAAGGAATTAGATTTCTTCACTGCATTACTTGTAGCCAATAGTCATTTTAGTGAATTGCTTAATTTAAAAAATGTCTTATAATGTGCCATAAAAAAGTAGTAAAAAAAAAATCCAGTATTATGTCCAATTTTACAAAGTTGAAAAACTGCTTCTGTTGTCTGGGGATACACACTATTTATAATAAATTAAAATAAAGGAAAGCAAGACAATTACAAATTCATGATTAATAGTTACCTCTGGGTGGGAGGGTCAGTGAGATTGGACTGGGGAGCCCACACAGAGAATAGTATGAGAGTACTTCAAAATGTTTGTGGGAAAATAGAATTAAAAGAGTATGAATCTTTCCATTAACTTTTTGAAAACCCCTCATATTGGTAATGTTCAAGTTCCTACATTGGATAGTGAACATATAGGGTTTTATTATTGATATGCTTTATAACCTACACATATATTTTGATAGCATCATACTTCATAATAAAAATTAATTAGTAAAGAATGTTTAGAAAGAAAAGCCTTAGCACAATTCTCGTTCTTGCCCCTAATTGTATTGTTAATATTTTTAAATTACAAAAATAATGTAATAATAAGGAAAAGTAGGGAGAAAGACCATCTCTAACATTAGTCCCTTAACATAATTACTGTTATTTCACTTATTTTCTTCCAATATGAATGCTTATTAATGTTTATGTTCTTAATTATAATTACAATGTATATAACTGTATATTTTTTATAGTACACAGTAGATTGATGGTCTTTATAGGTTTTATTTTAGTGGCCGAATAATATTTCCATAAGTAGTTAGTATCACATTGTATACTAACCATTTATCTGTGGTGGAATATTTAAGTTGTTTCAACTTTTCTGCTGTTACAGAATATCTTCAAGGTTCTTGCATTCATTCCACAAAAAATTTGCTTATGTGTAAGGTATTCTGCTACATGCTACAATTATAATGGAATGCAAAAGAAAAACCACAATTCCTGTGCTTGTGGAATTTAGAATCTAATGAATAACAGTTCCAGACTGAATTTTGTATTTTAGCCACTTTAATCCTTGGACTTTTTAAAAACTTTTGTTTTGAGAGAATTGTAGATTTACATCCAGTTGTAAGAAATAATACAAAGAGATGTCATGTACCCTTCACCCAGTTTCTCTCGATGGTAATATCTTGCATAACCATAATATAATACCGTAACCAGGACATTGGCATTGATGCAATCCACCAACCTTATTCACATTTCACCAGTTTTACGTGATTCGTTCGTATGTATGTATGTCTGTGTGGATGTGTTTTCTATGCAGTTTTATTACATGTGTGGATTGGTGTGACCACCACCATAGTCAATATACAGAGCAGTTCCATCACGAGGATCCTCACGCTGCCCTTTTACACCCGTGGGTACTACTCCCCTCCCCTTCCCTTATCGCTGGCAACCGTGAACCTTCTCTATTGCTGTAGTTTTATCACTTGAAGGCAGATATATAAATGGAATCACAAAGTATGTAACCTTGGGGGATTGGACTTTTTCACTCAGCATAATTCCCTTGACATCCATCAAGTTGTTATGCATATAAATAGTGCATTCCTTTTTATTGCTGACTAATATTCTGTAGTATGGATATACCACATTCATATATCTGTTGAAGGACATTTGGGCTGTTTCCAGTTTTGCCCTATTATGTTTTGTTTGTTTGTTTTTGGCAGCTGGCCGGCACGGGGATCTGAACCCTTGACCTTGATGTTACCAAGTGGACTCTAACCAACTGAGCTAACTGGCCAGCCCTTGCCCTATTATGAATAAAGCTACTGTGAACATTTCCTTAGCCTTTATTTTGATGACTATATATAAAAGGAAATTAGACTTCAGACCGCTGTATCTTAGCCACCAGTGTCTGTTCCCACATTCGAGGCATCTTTGTAGAACTCAAAATGAGCCTGTGATGAATGGCAGATGTTTGGGCTTTAATATTTTGTACCTCAAAATACATTAATTTGTCTATATAGCTAAAATGATCTTTTGTTCTCATATCTCTTTGTTTGCTGTCTTAGTCCATTTTGGCTGCTATAACAAAACACCATAAATAGGGTGGCTTATAAACAATAGAAATTTCTTTCTCACAGTTCTGAAAGCTAGGAAGTCCAAGATCAAGGAGTCGGCAAATTCAGTATCTAGAGAAGTCCCACTTCCTTGTTCATGGACAGCTTTTCTGCTATAACTTCACATGGCATAAGGAGTGCGGGAACCTCTCCTGGGTCTCTCTTATGGGGGTGCCAGTCCCATTCATGACCTAATTACCATCCTAAGGCTTCACCTTCTGCTACCATCACCTTGGGAGTTGGGATTTCAACTTATGAATTTGGGGGGACATAAACCTTCAGTCCATTGCATCTTTGTAACAGGGAAGCATATCCTGTTGCCATCTTTATTGTTCTTTAGAACTTAGAGGGTGAAAACTGATTTTCTGTTAAGCTGTTTGTCCTTTGAGGAATGGGAACCTGTCAGAGCCTCCTTGCACAAAGAGATTGCTCCATAGACATTCAGTCAGTGCTTCTGATCTTTAGATTTGATTGGCATAGATTTGACTGACAGTATTTGGAAAGGATGGGATACACAGAGGGTGGATAAGGTACATTTGCGCTTTAAACTTAAAGCCCTCATCTTACTACTTAACTCCAAAAATTAAATAATCTCCAGATTTTCAAAGTCTCCTTCAAAACCAAGAAAAACCAAATAGTAATGGCAGGCAGTTGGACTTGCTGTATGTGGAGAGAGGAAACAAGCTTGGGACAGAGCAGACCGAGGAGGGAGTGACAACGCAGCATGATGACCTTGCACGTGGTGCAGGACTCTGCCTGTCTGCCGTTCCCTGCGAGCACATGCGCACACATTTACATCCTGAGCTACCGTTCTGCTGCACAGGAGACTGCTTCTGAGTGTATTTTCTGAAATTTCAATAGTTTAAAATAGGAAGTAGGGGCTGGCCGGTTAGAATGTGGTGCTGATAACACCAGGGTCCAGAGTTGGATCCCTGTACTGGCTAGCCACCAAAAAAAAAATTTTAAATGAAAACACCTGGACTACATGAAGGAATGTGTTTTGAAGTAGCTTAGTGACTTGTATGGTTACTTACATGTTTATGATTTAGGTCAGACACTTAGCTATTTAGATGTTATTGTTTTTATTTCTTTTGAATGAGTGACAGTGGTCCTCACTTTCTGAGGAAGGCATAAAGTTTAGGAATCCCAAGTGCTGAGCAAGCACTTTGCTGTGTAACTGTGGCTGACCTTGGCTACAATGATGACTGACTGGGACCTGCCCTGAGACTTGGTCAGCACAGGAGAGTGCCCCACAATGGTGATGTGGTCTCTGGGCCCTCCGAGCTGCGGTTCTGCTGCAAGATAAGCCAGCAGTTGAGAGCCCAGAAAACAATGCTATCATCCCAGCTTGCTCTCTTTTCTTGTTACTTCTTTTTCTGTACCATTGCTCTTGGGGAAAAGCCTAAAATCTTTAACTGGGATAAAGTCTAAAACCTGACCCTGAGGTGAGCTCTGAGACTCACCAGGTGCTATGCAGCTGTTCCCGCTCTGTAGTCCACTCACACAGGCCATTTTCGAGGTCTTCTTTCCGTAGCTTCATGTTTCTGCCCATCGCAGGTCTGTGGTGCGTGCTGTTTTTGTTCTGCCTGGAACACCATCTACCCTCCTTCCCTCCACCTGCATTTGTCAAGTAATCCTGTGCACCCCTCAGATCTTGGCTTAAACACAACTTCCTCATGGAAGCCTTCCTTGAACCATCAGATAAGGCTAAGCCACTTCCCTGTGTGCTCATAGCGCCCTGTATATTCCTTGACTGCCCCCATCCCCATGTGTGGGATGTACATTGACTCTTGATCTGCTGCTATCAGTGTCTCCCATCCGCACCCCAGGCCTTCATGAAGATGACGACCACGTCTGGTGTTCACCGTTGACTCTGCAGCTCCTGCTACAGTGTCTGGCACATGGCAGATGTTCAATAAATAATTGTTGAATTAATGAATTAAATCAGGGAAATGTTCATCCCTAAAATGTCCTCAATGGGTGTGACATGGAATTGATTGTTTTAAAATGGAATTAGTACCTTTTTTCAAAGGTCCAGTTATAGACTCCTATGAAATTATTGAACTGTCCTAGAGGTCTGTTGACTGTAATTCATTTGGTTTTCTTTCAGGTGGGGACCAGGGTTTACTGAACACGTTTTTTAGTAGCTGGGCAACAACAGACATCAGAAAACACCTGCCATTTATTTATAACCTAAGCAGCATTTCTATATACTCCTACCTCCCAGCATTTAAAGCGTAAGTGCAATGGTTTAACTATTGTCGGGGATCATGAGGGCAGGGGAGTGGGGTTTAAAATATTTCGGGGTTCAAAATATTGTCATTCTGAAAGAAATAACTGGTGGGGACTTTGAGGAAGGTCTGTCTCATAAGAAACATGGCTGCAGTCGGGAGAGGCTTTGATGTTATCGATTGCATTATGCTTGGAGTAACCCAGAGGGCCCTTACCTGCCTTACAGGACAAGGCTCCCCTCCATTCCTGGGGTGCCTGGCCCTCTGATAAACCATCCATATGTCATGGTCAAGAAAACAGGCCATGAGGTCTGCACACTGGCCCAGGCCCAGCTTCTGCCTCCTGCTGTCTGCCAGCTTCAGTCGCCCTCACCTGCAAAAAGAGGGTGTTCTCAGCTTCCTCGTGGTGGTGTGGGGCTCAAGCAAGTGCATGCATGGTGTGGTCTCGTGGTTGAGAGTGGGGACTCTGGCACTAGATGACCTTAGTTCTCACCTGGAGTAACCAATTACTGGATGGTGACCTTGGGTGTTACTGACTTCTCTCTGCCTGAGTGTCTTCATAGGGCTATGGTGAGCATCACGGGAGGTAGTCATGGAAACTGGTTAGAAGAGACCCTGGTCTAAACTTAGTGCTCAGTAGATGTTAGATTATTAGTCATTTTTGTTTGAAAGGCAGTATAGTGCTAAGAGTAATTCCTGTAGCCAGAAAAGCAGGGCATATGTCCCCACTCTGTCATTTCTCTGCTACATGACGTCAGTCTCAGTTCCCCCATATGTAAAATGAGGAGGAAAACAGCACCTACCTCATATGGTTGTCAAGAAGATGAAATGAGTTTACACACAGAATTCAGTGGACATTTGTCGTCGTTGTTGCTGTTTGTGGTAACATGCTTGTTTGGCATGGGACTGCACTGTCCCCGGTGCAGTTCTGACACAGCATCTAATACAGCCTTGTTGCAGAGTTTATCTCACTGTGAGAGCCTGGGCTCTGTGCTTTTAACCTCTGACTCATTTGTGTTGAACTAGGAAGATGATTCATATTTCTTGAACCAGGGCCTAGCTGTCAGGTTGATCCTGAAACACAGCCGTGAGCAGCAAAGCCCTTCAGTGCACTGGGCTTGTCCCTCCAATCTCCATTCTGCATGGGCATTCCTGAATGAGCAGAAAACAAAGAGCCTTTCACTGCTCATGTTTCAGTATCCGAAGTCCTCTCCAGAAGTCTTGCACCACAGTAATAAGCATATCTAGCTGTTTGTGGCAGAAGTGTTTCCTTTTCTCTTCTTTTCTGGTCAGACTCTGTCAGCATCCCCCAGATAAGGATTACAAGTATCTTGTGTTCTTTACTCCCCAATTGTTCTCTTGGCATATGTCTCTGACATATTACAGCCTCTTGATTCTCCTTTCTACAGTGAAACAGGCAAACACTTAAACGTACCAACTGTGTTCTGAGTAAAACAAACAGAATAGCATTAATTGTCAAGGGAGAGATAGGAGAAGCATTATTTTTGCCTCCCAGTCCTTGGCCTTATAAAATACACCTGTGCCTCGCATGGGATTGTGGATCTGACTCGTTTTAATCCTTATGGCCTCATAACTAACCCTGTCCATTTGAACAGTGTACCTGCACACCATTATAGCTTGACCCTCTAGAGCTGAATTTGTCTGTAATAGGTCAGTGGCTTATAGTTTAATTGACTAAATTTAGCTTAGCAAGCAAAAAGTTGAGAGTGCAGAGAAAGAATTTTAAGAGTGTGACCATTCCACTCAGTTGTGCACAGTGAACATGTCTTGGGATCAACATCTCAGGGAGAGGTGAGTCTGACATCCCTACAGTTGGTTTCACCCCCAAACAGTGAACCTGAGTTATGTTTCCTAGTGGAACACAGCACCCATACCTAGCACTTTGTCCACTTTGACTCCCTGTGACTTTCATCATACTTGCTAGCACTGAACACACTGTACCTTTCAGGGATAGCCTGGTTTGCATAGGTACTGCTCATGTTATTTTATTTTAATACAGAACAGGAAGCACATGGAGCAGAGTTAAGTTTGGGGGAAGAAGATACTTATTTGCTAGAACCTTGGCCCCTCCCTCTCTCAAGAACCCAGTTTTTTTTTATCTTCTAAATGAATTTCCCAGAAAAACAGTTTGAGATCTAAATTACCAAAAGGGTTAGGATGGTTTCTTCTTCCTGGCTCAATGAATGGTGCTAATTTTGGAAATCTCCTTGGTTTATTGCCATAACCATAGAGTATATGACGCACGTGGGAAGCTGGGAGCAACTCCATCCATTTGGCAGACGTGAGTTGGCTGTGGGCTGACAGCAGTGGTTGCTGCTTGTGTGCTGCTCACCCTTGGGTGTCAGCTCTTATTTCTGTGATAAGACTGCTCAAAGCCGTGCCTTGTCTCACCCCACTGCAGCCCCTTTAGGAATGTTGAGACCAGATCAGAGAACCTACTTTCCTTTCCTTCTGCCAGGAACTTTTTTTTTTTTTTTTCCTTTTTGTCTTTTTTCGTGACTGGCAACGGATCGCAACCCTCAGTGTTGCGCCCGCGCCTTGCTCAACCAGTGAGCGGGAACTGGTCTGTATGTGGGATCCGAACCCTCGGCGGGAGCGCAGCCGCGCTTCCCAAGCGGCGCACTGTAGCAGTGCGCCACCGGGCCGGCCCCTTTTTTTTTTTTTTCTTGAAGAGACCCATTTCCAGAGTCATTTTTGCTTATATTCCCATACATTTGGGGAGGGCTGAAAAGGCATAGGGAGTTACATTTCTTTTTTGTTGTAAGTTAATGTAAAATTGTGATCCAAATCTTTTTTAAGCTAAAGCAGCCTATTGAGCTTTTGGGCTGCCATAGCTACTCCTCAGAGAGTGCTGTGAAGTTGAAGCCCCACTGTGGGTTCAGAATAACCGTGGTGGTCTCCAGGACCAAGCAGCTCTGCAGTGTGCTGGCCTTCCCTAGGACAGCATAAGCGGTGGCAGGTAGAATGGAAGACTGTGGAGTGATTCAGAGTAACCTGGGCTTCATGGAAGAAGCAGCTGAGAATTTGTTTCATCAACTCAAACCATGAATCATGAGGTTACTAAGGCAGTATGTACATTCTCCAAAATCTTAGAGCCTTGGATATCTAGAACAATGTGGCTTTGAAGTTTTTGCTGATAAGAATCGAATTTAATGTGAATTTCAGCCATGAAATAGCATGTTCTCTACATACCATTTGGATAAAACAAAACATAAAGGAAACAAACTTTAATAGTTTTATCACTTTAAATGACTGTTCAAACATAACTTTGGAAAAACAAAAGTGGTAACATTTTTTGTAATGGAAGATCCTCTTTAACATACCATAATTTGAAAACTAAAATGCTTGTTTTAGTAATTTTTAAGTTAATTTGTAGTGTACACATTGGGAAACAGGTCATAAATGTATTTGTTAATGAAATAATATTTTTGAAAGTGTCTAGCAAAATGTTTGGTATATAGTAGGTTTTTAATCAATATTAGTATTCTTTCACTTTTTTTTAGTTTTGTCCAAATGAAGGGCCTATTTTATCCATATTGCATAGAATTTGGTTTGTACATAGTGCTAGGAAAAAACTGATTAGTCTTTTTAAAATCAGTCATTTAATTTCATTTTAGCTTTCTATTATATCCACTGACTAAAAACTCTTTAGGTCATATCATACTGTATTAAACAGGTATTGCTTCAAGCCATCACACAAATTAATTGGTCAAATTGATTGACTATGAAGCATGATTTACAAGATAATTTTCAAATAAATATTTAATTTTACCCTGTTACTTGAGTTTAGATATAATCTGACACCTAACCTAATGAGAATTAAAAAAAAAAGTTCCTATTTATTTTACTGCTTTAAACTTTTCTGAGGATATTTATATTCATTTTTTTTCCAAGAATGTAGCTCATTCTCTAAGACCTTATAAAATCTACCTAAAATCAACATTTCCCAAAAGAAATTGAACATTTAGTGTCCTAAATTTTATTGTGTATTTCTTATTTGATTGTTTTTCCTTGATTCCTGAGACCCCCTTGGCTCCAGACCTCCCCAGTATTATGGTCATTGAAGCCATGGCCTTTCTATTTTTATTTATTTTCACACTTCTACATCTTCATCCCAAACCCTGAGCTGCTGTAGTTTGGGTCGCTCTTTCTCTGCACCGCCTGCCCCCCTTAGCCCCAGCCATTTGTTGGCCCACACACTGTTCATTCAGGTGACAGACCTAGAGCACGTGCAGTGTGCCACACGCTCAGCTCACTGAAGGCCTCGAGGCGAGTGGGGGAGCTCATGGTCTGATCCCTTTGGCACCTGCTTAGGTGTGCAGTTCCTGCACTCTGCGTGGCACAGCCCATCATGGTTTTAGTTTTGAGGTAGAATAAAGCGGTGGTTGCACAGATGTCTTGTTCCTCCTTTCTGGGTGTTAGTGATGTCTTTTTGACCCCAAGTGCCCCATTTCTCAGTGTGGCCAGCTGGTCATTCTGACCTCATCTCTAAGCTTTTTCAGATGATCTGTCCTCAGATCTTGCTGCTGCCTGTTCTGCTGCCCTGCCTGAGTCTTCATCACCAGGGGAAAACCTTCCATATCAGACCCAATTGGTCTTTAAAAGGTGCTCTAATGATAGACAAAAAGGGCACAAGGAGTGAGATCTCATGGGCAAAATTCTGGGGGAGAAATGCCATCTCAAGGGGCGAGGGGCTCACGGGAGAGGAAAAGTGTGGGGATTGAATGAAAGGCATACCTTCCTCAGAGGTCTTGAACTGGTGGCCTTTAGACTATATTTGTTCCACAGGTATGTTTTATTTCCGCTATGTATAATTTTTTTTTAACTCAGTTGTCAATGTTTAAAAATTAGGGAATTTCACATAAAACCTGGGTTTCCAACTTCTTTTGAAAAATCAAATATTTTGTCGGATATGTCAGATATGACTCTTATATTGGCTTAAGCACCTGGAATGATACTGAGTTGCCATTTCCAGAAATGGGAAG